GTTGTGAATTTGCGATGGTCTCATTTGTAAACGGTGTCGTTTCGCATCGTATTGATTCAGTAGAACTCTTATCAAAATCAATTTTTATGTGCTTTCTCGACAACTGCGCAATCGGAATATTTTTTTTTTAAAACACCATCGTACAAATTATGCTAAATTTGGACCCTTAAATGAAAAGATGGCTACTTACAACAAGCACTGCGAAACTATTGACTTTACAATGGCAAAAACCAAATTGAAACAACACAATTTGTTATTAATTAATTTGATATGTTTTTTATTATTCATTATAAAAAAACAAAGAAGCTAATTATTATTGTAACAGAACAGTCTACATCTGATTGTAACAATAAATAAATAAATAAATAAATAAATCAAATTATACTGGAATGCAGGGTGCCTTCCATTCATTCTGGCTAAAAAAATGTTTTATGAAATTATGAAATAATAACATATTATAATAATATTTTGTTTGTGTAAGCAACAAGAAAAGATTGTGAAGTTTGTGTTTGACACATAATACCTGCCAATTTTGCTGCATGAGAGTTGCAATAAGCGATTTTGTCATTTATCTCACCCACTCTTCGCTCTTCACTCTTCGCTCTTCACTCTTCGCGAAGAGGTGATCAGAAAATCGCTCATTGTGGCTCTGTCAAAGCAAAATTTGCAGGTTTTATGTGTCAAACATAAACTTTAATATCTTTTCTTGTTCCTTACACATACAAAATGTCACCATAATATCTTATTATTCCATAATTTCCTAACACATTTTTTTAGTCAAAATGAATGGAAGGCACCCTGCTGGAATGTACTGTTCTGTTGATGCGAAAAGATGAGGAGGTTTTATGCCCATATGAGAAAAGCAAAGCTTTTTAAGTAAACTCCTCTCAAAGGAGCTTTTCCTTGCTCTTAATAAATAAATCAATAAATAAGGAAAACTGAATGTGAATTCTAAGCAGAAATCCAAGGTACTTGTAGTGTTACCGATCCACTTGAAATCGGAACAATAGATGTTCATCTGACTGAATTTCTAGATTTTATTGACATCATAGCTTTTGCTGGTTCTCATCGAAAACTGCGAGTAGTTTATTCATTATAATAAAAAAAACTAGCATTGTTAGCTGGAATTTAAAAATAGTTCTTCTATTGAGCCACCGCCTAAAAGCAAGTGGTATAAAAGCCTTTGTTGGAGTAAGCGCTGTAAATGGGAAATTGGTACCGCCACTGGATCCGGGAGGAAAAAAAGAGAGGATGATGTGAGAAAAGGAAAAGGATGCAAGATGGAGGGCTTGGATAGCATTACCGAGGGAGTAATCCGGTGATTACACCAATAGCCCGAACACGGAAAAGTTCGCGATTGTGAGGTCCGTTTTGTACCACGTTACACGGTACGAAGTCAAGTAAATTACCGTTTGACTCACTCCACCATCCTGTTGAACGCTACGCTGTTTCCCAGCGTGCCAGCAGGTGAACTTCATCCCGAACACCTCAGCTAGCGATCTACCGCTAACGATCCGCAAGGCTGATTCGACCGACTCCACTGTACGTAGAACCCACGTGGCAGAGGCCACTAGGATACGGCACACATCTCCACTGACGTCGCCGTCGTTTGTTCACCATTCGAGACCGGCAGCATTTCGGCGAAACCACCACGAAGCAGAAAGGTGCGTGTCATCCCTCCTTCAAATTCCCACCCTCAACGGGGCCCCAGCGCTACAGTGCATCAAGCAAAAGCCTTTAATATATGTAATTAAAACTTAGAAACACTTTCCAATTACCTAACTTTTTGATCGAAAGAGCCAGCATGCCCAAGCAACAAATTTGGTTTTATGAGGGTTTTGCAGACCATAAATTGGTCTTGTAGAATGCTTTAAAGCCTCTATAAAACTTGTAATGTTACTTGGGATGTTCGGCAGATGAGGGTTTATTGTCCGGTCGTTATTTAATTTCGGCACCGCAAGGTAAGTGATCAGCTGTTCTGAGTCCTCCCGGGGTCGGTGGCCGATCCTGAGAAATTTGAATTATAAGGTGAGCTAATGACAAAAGAGGCCCGTCACTTTCAGTAGGTAGAATTCCAAGTAAAAAAAGGAGAATCCAAAAAGAATTCTGAAAAGCTTTCAATGAAAATTCTGAGATGAAGTTTCAAGAAAATTTCCAACGAAGTTTTGAGATAAATTTCAAAGCATACTATGGAGAGTTTTTTCTTATGACCATTTCAAGAAGTTCATGGAACCACTAAGAGAATTCTGAGTGGAATATGGAGGGAATTCGGAGGAAATCTTTGTGAATACTGAAGAGAGATATTTTTAAAAGAATTCTTCGAGGGATACCTAGGCAATACAGCGAGAATTATTAAGAATTTTATGAGAATTGCAGAGTAAATCAAAGAGCGTTCTATAAAGAATTTCTAGAGTATTATGGAACAAATTGTGAGGGACATTTTTAGTTGTTACTAACTAAATCCTTGAGGTAATTCTAATTAAATCCTGTATAAAGTTCCAAGTTCATTCAAACACAGACAGTTTATCGAGATCACAGAACGAAAATGGTTCTCAGGCTTTGAAGGTTATTTAATTTAATATTTCATGCTTAGAAAAGTTCTTTTAATTCTGGATTAATAAAAATCTTTAAAATTAGGACTTATAAAATTTGAGTTCTTTGACCAATATTCCGGACATTGAGAAATTTCTGTACCTTTATACAATGTACATTTTTTTCTGCAAACGCATTTTTGTTTATAAGTGTAGTTTTCTAATTAATTATGTTTGGTCTATAATCTAAAATTAAAAGAACTATCTTAACATCAATGAAACAATTGATTGATTTGACTAATACTTTAAAGTATATGTCTTTAAATTTGTTAAACAAATTTTCAACTTTTAATCTTAATAGCTTTGATAATAAAGCTGTTCTTTGAATACTGTTTATGATACTTAAGTTATAGTATCGTATGAATAAATTAGTTTACTTTACTTAGAAAAGCGTGAGAGACTGGGATCATCGATGAGTAACGTCCAACATGCCAAAGCATGACACGGTCTACACACTTTCAAGAAGTAGAAGAAACCGAAACGAAGTTAAAAACAGGCCACATCCTTCAAACCGAGAGCTCGGGACTTCGGGAGCTGTATGCATAATGAAACATAAATCAAATTTGTGAAGACAAGGACCCGAAGGCGGCGGGTTCGATCCCCGATCCGGTTGAGAAAATTTTCGGGTTGAACATTTTGTCGAGGAAAAGCTTCTAGTACACCAAGTTGAAAGCATATAAAAGCCTGTTTATGAGCGTTAAAGCCAGGCAGAAGAAGATAGATTCCAAAAGATTTATGTTATTGTAGTTAAAGCCATTTATGACGACGGAAAAGATGAACACAGCTATCTGCGTTCGGGGGAGCTTGAACCGGTGCGTCTGTTGGCTGTGGTCCGTCAACATGATAGCCCAGTACTATTTTGGCCGGCGTCAGTGCACTATTCGGAAGAAAAGGAAATGAATCATCTGAACCATCCGGGGGCTTGGCTAATCCAAACTTTTTGGGCCTTGGATTTGGCATGCCCTGTCTACGGAAACACTTTAAGGCAGCGAATTCAACCGGATTTTTTTTTAAGAAGACTGAATAAAAGTGGCCAAAACAATCACCATGGAATCTGTAATAAACTAAATGAGCTTCGTGAAAAAAAAAATAAGTTGCTTGAACAAACATTGCATTTGTATCAGGATCATGCTCAACTGCATTAAATTGAATATATTCTGAACCCAACGGCTATGAATTTAACTTCATTTAATTTCATTTCACCTTTTAACTTCACCAACTGAAACGGCTGAAATGTCTGATTTATTGACAAATTGAGATACAGCACTAAAATCAGTCACTATTTTGACCTGATTACCACTCTCACCAGGGCAGGCCGCTGAAGAGCTGCAAACTTCTTTTTTTTTCATCCCCCGGGCGCTACATCGTGCAATTAGTTTTCACAACCTTTCGAGCTCTCCGTTCGATGCCGCTGGAGGGAAAATCGTGAGAATCCAACAAAACTAACTGTATTTCAGTGCTAAATTACTTCCCCAAGCCATCAACTGAGCTCAGTTCAAATTCACTTATTACTCAAGTTATCGTTCATTGCAATGCAACATCAGCATCATCATCAGCTACACAGTGCATCCCAATTTACTATGCTGCGTTCGTGGTTTAGGTCTGTCGGGGAGCAAAAAAAAAAGAAGCTCCCATGACCTCCGACCTTTTTCGACGATTACCGGGGCTCTTCTTTGGGCTGCAGTCAGTGGAGAAGCATTTCTATCCCTGGTCTCCTAACGATGATACTGGAGTGCAATTTTAATACCATTTCTATGAATAAGAAATTATACACGATCATGCGGTTTCATTCGCGGCGAGGGGGAAAAAGGATGGGGAGATCAAGTTGGAAACATGGAACCTTACATGATCCTCCGATGTTCACACGACTTTTTGAACTTGTGCATTTTTTCCCTCGGTGAGAGTGAGGAGAGCGCGGGGGGGGGGATCGCGCGAGGGATAGGGTATCACTCTCTCCACCGGGAACCTCTTCTTTCTCATCGTTAAGGTAGATCGGTGGCGGCGACGGGGTAGTGGGGTCTTAGGAGGGTCTCCCAAAGCGGTGAGCGATGCGCCGCGATCTATATGGGGAATCTTTCCGCGGGTGCGCGCGTACACTCTCTTTCTCCGACTAATGTTTTATTTCTTCTTTTTTTATGAGATGCGCTTCTCCGGTGTGGTGAGTCGAATGGCGAAGGGTATGAGATGTGAGCAGAAGGACGAAGCGAGGGAAAATGAGCAGATGGAAGCATTGAGTGAGCATATGCACACAGCCGGCCGCTGCTTGCGCTCTTGGGATTGTGCCTTTGTACATAAGCGGTTTGGGTTGATGCGGGAAGAGCGAGCGAGAGGCAACGATTGGGTAGCATAATGTTGCCTACGAGTCGAAATACGCAGGAGAGGTTTGTTTCGATCATCAGTTCTGAGCAAACCGTCCAACGGTAAAGACGTATTCTTCGTTCGGTCACTCCGGCTTCGAATGTTGGGTTGTGAGGGAATTTAGTTCATAAGAAAGTTATCCTTTACCCACTTGGAAGGACTTTGTTGTAGATCGGTCTCATCGGAAAGAAGACGATCGCGATCGTAGAGTCCGGAAGTTGCTTATCAGCTTGCTATCGAGGGCAGAGAGTGAATTCTGTGGGAACTGATGTGAAGTGTGTGGATTGAAAGCAACGAAACGCGAAACAATTTATCGTCATAAAGGAATACGCGGAATATAAGAAGGCACTGAAGTACACAGAAAACGTGAAGGAAGAGTTAAAAGAAAGTCGTTGAAAAACAAAACACAAGACGAACGATCGATTGATCGTGTGTGCGCGCGCACCCCCCGTGCAAAGAGCCCTGTTTTAGTGAGTGTGGGAACCGTTGAGCAAAAGAAACTGTTATGTGTGATTAATTCAGTCGCGGAACGCGAACTGTGCTGTGTGGAATAGCGCACTCGGATTTGAGTTGTTTTTTTTCTCGGACACATAACTAGCTCCCACATTGTTGGCCCCTATGGGTGTACTGAACGTCGTGATCGGTTCCGGTGCCGGTGCAGCAGTCGAGTGCCAGCCGAGTTGCAAGAAGAGCAACGATAACATCTTCTCGCCGATCAAGAACAAGATGAAGGTCCTGAAGAAGATCAAGAAACGGATGGGATTAGGTTAGTAGCTTTGACTATTTCGCTGGCATTGGGAAAGGGGTTGCAATGGTTAATCCTTGACGACGCAGCGGCAGCTGCAATTTTCGCCCCTCGCGCTCTCAACGGTCGGTGTGTAACGAACTTTTTCCCGGCGTCCCTCCGGGGAAATGTGTATACGCATTGGTTCTAGTTCGTTAACGTTGACGCTGTCTGGCTTGTGACCATGGCGGCGGTGGCGGCGGTGAAGGGACGGGTGTAGGTAATTTGGAGAGGAAGCGGTATTAAGGGCCTTCTTTCATTCATACTTATCGAAGCGAGTAGTTCCCCTTTGATGGGTGCTCGCTCGGCTGTAACAGTCTGAATTGCATGGACGTTCCCTGCGTGTGTATGTTGTTTTTTTTTTTCCCGTTGGATTCAGTTACCATTACAATGGTAATGGGGTAGTTGAAGTGCGAACGAAATTTGGGAGATGGAAGTGGGCTTTGAGTCGAATTGCTCAGGTTGATGGAATGCTTTTAAAGTTTTTTTTCCTTTCTAGGGCTTCGTATAATGATCTTTGTCGGTAATAGCGGAGAAATTTGCATAGGATTGTGATAGGACTACTGAAATTATGATGGAATGGAAGATTTAAATGCATGGCATTTAATCACAGTTTTAAAGTTTAAATTTATGGACCAAGAAGAAGATTGCAAATGAATCGAAACGTCGGTTATTGACAGTATTGTCTTACGATTTTGTTATCTGATCTTATGTGTATTCTAATATTGACTTATTCTAGCAACCTTTCCCAAGCAATAACTTTGGTTTTATCATAATCTTGTATGTCATGGTTTGGTCTAGAAGAATGCTTTAAAACCTCGATAAAACCGGCGCTGTTACTTGGGGTGTCAATATGTCTGAACATTAATTGAAGTTACATTTGTGGGCTCATGATTTGTATTAAGCTAAGTTAGTAAAGCTTAAGATTCGATATTCTTATGAATCCTGTTGGCTTCGATTATAATACATTTCAAAATTAGATTTATACATTATTTCCATCTGATGGGTCCTTAACTCCCAGACATGGTAAATCGTTTACATTCATTTCGTGTATTAATTTACATTCATTTGTCTATAACTTTTTCATAAACACAATTCTGTAAAAATGGTGCATGAAGCTTTTGTAGCTTGTAGCTACAATTTTTGTGAATAACAAAAATCTCTATCTCTTATGCATGATGAACAAGAGCGAACAGAACTCAGCATTGCTTTTCAGTGAATGTGATTTTTATTATTCATAAAAGTTTTAGCTATTATTAAAACCTACAAAAGCTTTTTACATCATTTTACAAAATTCCGTTGATGGAAAAAGTTAGAGGCAAATAAATGTTAATGATTACACGAAATCAATGTAAATGATTTTTCACGTCCATGCTTAACTCAATGATTTTTCACCAAAAACTTGATCTTTTATCATCAAATTACTCGTGTAACGGACGATAATGTTTTAAAGCTTTTGTACAATCACTTTGACCAATATTTCGAAACAGGATCAATTCAAAATTGTATGATTTTTCAACAGATAGGGGAAAAATTGGCTTCGGCAATACCTTAACCTATTATCGTCAGGGGGTAAACAAAGTCCTAGAGCACTCAAATTTGGCCAATAGTTGCTCTGAAACACAATGTATCCACATGCCAAAATTGAGCTCTCAAGGACGTTGTTTACCCCCTGACGATAATAGGTTAAGGTATTGCCGAAGAGAACTTTTCCCCTAACTAATATTTTTCATATCAAGCAGTATCTCAGTAGTTTATCAACCAATTCTCATGTTACTCTACAAGTTATTGATCAATTGATTGTCCTCATTTAGGATGAGTTCAGACATTTCATGAATTGCAGAATGTGTATTAATATATCTGAAATAAACTTTGTTAAACTGCTGTCTACTACCTGGAAAATAGGGAATCATAAGGACATTTTAATGCTCCTGGAAAAAACTGTAATTCTCAGGGAATTTTTAAATTCTCGTATCAAGCTTCATGCGTCTTTTGGGAAATTAGATAAGAATTTTTGCAACCAATTTTAACTTCCTCCTTATTCACATTGACTACAATAATCCTGAAGTGGATTTATCTTCAGTAACAACATACATTCTGAAACATGATTTTTTTTTTGTAACCCTGAATCGAATTAAATCAGACTTGGAGAAATTTTCAACTATCTGGCTCGAAAATAAATGTTGAAGACGACAGACATGGAGTATTTTCCAAGAACTCGGATGAACATAAAAATAAGGGGCTTGCAAAAGTTTTACAGCGTATGAACTTAAATGATTGAATTTAATTAGAATTTTATGGGAGCTGGCTTAATTTCAAAGGAATTCAGAGAAGAATTTCATAAGAAGAATTGTTAGGAAAACATAAAGTGAAATCTGAGGATTCCTTTTAAGTTAGTTCTGTTGAACTTCAATTTGCAAGCGAAACGTATGGAGGATTGCAAGGTATTTCTGATTAGAATCCCAAGGGAACCCTGAGTAGGATTCAAAGAAAATTTTCAACAGAATTGTGAGGTGGATTCCAAAATAATTTCAAACAAAATTCCAAGAGAGTTTTGACTAAAATAGTAAAGCAATTTTTAGGAGACTTCTAAGAGATTTGTACTTGTGAGAAGTATTTCAAGAGAAGATGGATTATCCAAAAGAATTCAATGAACATTCTGAGGATACTGCAACACAAATTCTATAGAGTTTTCCAAAGTTTCAAGGAAATTTTCAACTGTGGAATACTTAGGAGAGTTGAAAGGCTATTCCTGTAATAATTTTTATTTTTAGTTTCTAGGGAATTCTGATGAACTTTTCAAGGAATTTACGGAACTACTTCAAGAGACTTCTGATTATAGGGGAAATGGCTCTAATGATGGCTCTAATGATGGCCTATGGCCCATCGATAAAAATCTCTTGTTTATCAATTTTTCTTAGAACAATGCGTCATCTAGATAACACATATTGATATTTTGGGTTACTAGCGAAAAATTGGCAAAACAGGAGATCGCAGTAAGCCGCGCTTGAAAGCTGACGTGTTTTTCTTTTGCTGCATATTTCTCGTAAGCGAATTAAACACATTTTGGCTTTAAATTTGTTAATTTATGTGCTGAAATTTAGTTGCATGTGTTCATAAAGCTATCATTTAGTGATATATCGTGTTTTGCCTGTGTTTGTCTTGAGTGGCTCGGTATAACTTGAATCTAACCTCCAAAATATGCAACGCAGATTCAGTTCCATTGTTCGGTGTCGATTTTCATTGCCTCACGGGAGCCCGGTTCTCCGAGTTCGGATGCTACACTTTCGGCGTGTAGTTCTGTTGAGAGATCGGTCCGGTTGGTGAATTGGCCCGGGAACGTGTTGATAATGAATGCGTCGCGAGTTTTGGTGGAGATTCTGTGGCCGACGTTGCCGTGAATCAGCGGGTTTTCCGCTTGCAGAAGTGCTCGGCTGCTGGTTTCTCGCCGGTGTCGGAGATTGCGAGAAATACGAAAGATGCCTCACTGGATACGCCCAAGACTGGACGGGTGGTGGTTGGTGGCCGCGAACTGTTCCTGGGGAAAGCACTACACGCGAGCCTCTTCCCAGATGACCATGGCAATGCAAGAAAGTTTGTGTTCGTTAAAGGAAGTATTACGACAAAGGTGCATCACAAAATGAGATGCAAAGCTTAGAGAAAATCAAAATTACGGAACTCATGGATTGGAGGTTCAAATTATCAAGATCAGACCAGTCCAAATACATTTAACGATTAAAAAAAAAACATGAACTAAATACGTGCCAGGTTTGAAAAAAATATTTTCGAATGGAAGCGTGTATGTAAGACCAATATCCATTTGATAACGGTGATGCAAACATACTTATGCACTTATTGTAAGTGAAAGTAACCTCGGAATGGGCGTGACTCTCCAGACATTCTGAAATGGGTTGCTGGATCTGTAATAGAGCTATCACTTTCTAACTCCCGGACTAAAGCTGTCTACAATGACCATAAATGCGACATTGTAGAGAGAGTTCTTCCACACACTAGCGAAAAATTGACAAAACATGTTTTGCTTCGAAATTTATGTATGGGCCCAATATTAGGAACATTAACTCTAAGTGCATTTTGTTACAAACAATGAGTATTGAAATATCGACTCCGTAAAGCTGACGGGATTGTGCCTTTCAAATAAACGAACCAGATGAAAGAAAAAAAGAATTCTGAGTAGAGTTTATATGGAATTCCAGAGATAATTCCATGCAAATTTATGGAGAATAATTAGTGAATACTGGGGAGAGTTTATTTCAGAGGATTTCTTTAGGGAAATCTTAGGTAACACAGCGAACTCGATTAAGAGAATTGCAAAGTGAATCAAAGGGCCTTCTATACAGAATTTCTTAAGTATTATGAAGCAAATTGTAAACCAAAGAGAGCTCTAAGACGAACTCTGGGAAAATTTTGAAAATTCTAAAGAAATTCTTTGAACAGTTCCAAGGACATCAAAATGATTCAAGCAAATATCTTTTTTCGAGATCGAAGAAGAAAAATTTAGGTATAAAGCTGTTCTTCCATTTCCATTTGGTCACCGTCTTCAATCCACTTACAATTTTGAACTCAATTCTAACAATTCCGCTTCACAGTATTAATTATTTCAAATTTGATTTTATATTTACACGAAAAAATCACGCAGCAAAACAAAAATACGTAAATTTAGCAACACGGCCTACTTCGAGCCTCATTACTGAGGATATTAAATGAGGTATTCGTTTTCGATACAGTTATCATTCATACTTGCCCTTCTCACAATAATCCACACTCAATTGTTATGTTCTGTTTCATTCGAAGAGGGATCTCTCTAAAGACCCTCCGATCAATCATAAAAGATCTTCTTAGTGAAAAAATATGTGATGGATCTGATATTTGTCCATTCCTCAGAATTCTGGTCGTTTCTTGTCTCCAATCTCAGTTCCACGGAAACGCCTTAAAACGAGGCGCATAACCGTTAACCGGAAGATATTATTCATACTACACCGAAGCTTACATATACGGCAGTATTTTCAGTGTTGAAAAGTTTGCTAGTTATTAGTTTATTAGTAATTCAACTATAAACTTGGATCCCACCTGGGTACTACTTTCCTCAGTTTGCATATCCCATTGCATACCTTTCAGGCGCAGTGTCAATGAGCTGGATGCTCAATAATTTCCTGGAACTCGACTTAGCACACTTCCAGAGAGAATAACACGTCAATTACAAACCCGACAAAGCGTGATACACTCTCCCATGGGCAACATCCTGTCCCCGCCGGTGCCAGCCGAGGTGCCGGACGTTGAAGTGTGCTACGCTTCCATGCGCACAGAGATAACAAAAACGTCCGCCTCGGCGGCTGCATTCCAGCCAGGCAGCAGAATGTGGACGACGAGGTCGCCGGTCCGGTCGTCAGCTCAGTTCAGTAATCGACCAGAGTTTCTCAACCGTGCTTCCTGCTCCCCCCGCTCCTCACTTGTACACGACAAATCCCAGAATTCCCGACGCCCCGTCCAGCCGTCACCGTCGTTGTCGTCGTCACTGACTGCTGAATAATAATAATAACAAATAATTAATTCGCTCATGCAATGTGATATAAAATTGTTTTCTTCAATTTATCGTGTCCGCTTTCTGCTCCGGTTCGGTTCGGTTCGCTTCCCGGTATGTGCGCCTCCGTTTCACATCAAATTTTTATTGCATTTCTACTTGAAACCTCGATGATGATGACGACCTGACGACGACTCTTCTTCTCTAACGGTGGGAACCTCGCTGTCGCCGTCGTCGTATCTGATTATTATTCCGTCACCGAAGCAGTTCTTGTAACAGGTACTCTACGCTGATGGGAAAATTGCATCTCCGGGGCCGACGACGGACGGCGGGGGACGAAATGTCGCACGCGTGCTCTCGCCAAGTCGTCGCGACGCGACTCGACTCCCGCCCGACTCGATCAGAGTGGCGGCGCTCGTGGCGTCAAGGGTGAGCTTAAGCGTGGCGAACGATCGCGCATACATAACCTAGAAAAAAAAAACCCGAGGAAAACGCAATCATAACGAGTGAGTGGTCTGAATTGCTTTTTTGATTAGTGTAGGTATTTACTGTTTCTGTTGTAAGTCGCATCACGAAAGGAAATTGGAAATAGTTTTCCTCGATTTACTTTTTCGATTAAAATCGGTAACTTTCTACTCGCAGTTCAAATCGCCGTTCAAATCGCCGTAGCAGATGTTTTGATTTTCGATCTTCTTTTTCCTTCAAATGATCACTCGCTTACAGTGTCTTGAAACTTCATTTTCAACCCCTCTAAGGCGATGATGGAAAAACCAGCTGTCCGAATCCATCGGAAGGCAGACTTCCTTTCGTCATCGTCATAGAGGGACAGAAGAACGTACGGAAAGAAGAAGGCGAAAAAGGCGCCCCTTTTCATAGGCAAAGGTAGGGGGAATAGGTTCTTCTTTCCCGCCTCGTTTCGGTTTCGGTTATTTACATTTTCAATCAACATCTGCCTCGGTTCTCGATGCCGGGGAGACGACCGGGGTGAAGTCTCCGAAGGGATTTTTTTTTTGCGTAATGTGTGCGTCCATTTTCCGTAAGAGTGCGAGGGTGTAGTGCTGAATCTTGCTAGATCCGCAGAAAGAATGCGAAAATGTACAGATGTGCGTAATTAAATGTGTGGCTTTTTGAGATTTGGGTCCTTTGGGATATGGTCTGTTTAAAAGCCTTCAAGACTTGAGACAGCTCGTCGGTGACAGATTCCGACAAATGGCGGCATTTGATTATTATCAGACGACGGAAGCTATTAAGACATAATTGAACGGAAGGCAACAGTTCGAGCATTAAGCACGTGTGATGTGTACCTACATACCGCAAGAATTGAACGATGAAACGACGACGAGGGGAAAACGTTCAAACGCACTTGAGCTCCTCGTTCGTCGGTAGCTAGCCTATGTGCTTAATCGTTGTCGTCTTGCGGCGGATGTCGAAAAAATGGAATATGAACTCAGTCAGTAGCACAAACACATGGTGTGGCAAAGGAAATCGGAAGTAGCATTTCCGATCTTTCGTCATTCTACCCTGTTTCGCCGGTTTCGTATGCGAGATCTTGCGCCTTTGTTCCCATTATTTAGAACAACATCACCTGCGTCTAGAGTAAAAAAAAATACTAAACATCGCTTTTTGCTCTTTTCCACTTACAGCTCCTCGCAGTGCATCGTCCTGTCCGGGCCCAAACAACCTACCGCCGTTGCAGTTTCACAACGTGCACGGCGATAACATAAGAATCTCGCGCGATGGCTCCGTAGCTCGACGGTACGAGTCCTTCTGCAAGGGAATCACATTCAGCGCCCGACCGGTCCGGGTGAACGAGCGTGTGTGCGTTAAGTTCCTCGATATCTCCAACAACTGGAGCGGAGTGATTCGCTTCGGTTTCACGTGCAACGATCCGGCCACCCTGCGTGGCAATCTACCCAAATACGCATGTCCGGATCTTACGAACAAGCCCGGATTCTGGGCCAAAGCTTTGAATGAGCGATACTGCTATCGCAATAACGTACTATTCTACTATGTCACACCGTCCGGGGATGTTCACTTTGGCATCAACGGTGAAGAGAAGGGAGTGTTCATCACCGATGTCGACTCCCGTGGTCCACTGTGGGCTGTAATCGACGTGTACGGCAATTCCACGGCTATTGAGTTCCTAGATTCGCGAATTTACATGTTCCAACAGCAGCAACACCATCAGCAACAACAGCAGCAACAACAACAACAACAGCAGCAGAATCACCACCACCACCATCATCATCAACAACAGTCAGCACAAAGCCAATCCTGTGGCCGTCGTTCAGCCGATCAGGAAATTGTACCTCACATGGAATCTCTCAGTATCAACCAACATAACCAGCAGTTGCTGGACGAACGTCCAGTTCCTCCGCCGACGACGACGACGACGATGACGACGAGCGCGGTTATCAGTTCGGCTGCAAACATGCGATACAACAGCCCGGCACCTGGACTACTACCTCTCCCGTTCCATCCGATGCGAGGTCGCAATATAAAATTTTCCCCTGATCGTACGGTGGCGAACCGTGTCGATTCGGAATTCTGCCAAGGCTACGTATTCACACCCCGTCCAATCAAGATCGGTGAACGCCTCATTATCCAAATCCTAAAGACCGACACCATGTTCGTTGGATCCCTAGCCCTGGGGCTCACATCGTGCGATCCAGCAACCCTCCAGTTCTCCGATCTGCCCGATGACTCCGATCTGCTACTGGACCGTCCGGAATACTGGGTCGTTAGCAAAGATGTCGCATCCACGCTGGTCCGTGGCGACGAACTGTGCTTCTCCATCTCCGTCAGTGGAGAAGTGTCCATCAGCAAGAACGGTGGAGCTCCATCTGTGATCATGCACATCGACCAGAGTCTACAGCTGTGGTCTTTCCTCGACGTTTACGGGTCTACCCAAAGCGTCCGTTTGTTCAGCCATGCAATCCCCACCTCGATGGCAACCGCATCCTGTTCAGCTCTCTACGAACCTCGAACCATGTCCGCCTCGGCCAGTCAGCGTAGCCTGCAAGTGCAGTCCACGAGTCAGCAATCGCAGCCCTCGGGCTCCATCCGGCCGGATATGATCCAAATCAACCCGGGCGGCACGGTGCTAGTGGTGAATCTACCGCCAACGGATGTCATGTCACCTGCCTCCTCGCAACCATCGGTCCAACAAGCGCAGGCCACCATCGTGTCCCGCGGTCTTGCAAACTCCACATCGACACTGTCGGTTCCGCTGTCGACGCTGTCGCTGTCGTCGCACACCGGCTCCAGCGGAACATGCGAAATGCTTCCGGCCTACAGCTACGCAGAGGTAAGCTTCACATTCCTTCCAACGAGTTGATATACCTTCCTCCAATGATCAAATAATTTTGTCAATGGGAATGCTTTCATCATGGTTTGACCATTGAAAATGTTTCTCCCATCTGAATCCACCAACTTTACAACCCCATCAGCACCATCTAATCGCACTATTTTCATGTCTCCTCATTGCAGCCAATCTCCGCCTACAACAATGCATCCAACTACAATACTCTCGCGGCGGTGGCAGCAGCTACAGCGGCATCCAGCACCGCCTCCGGATCTGGTAGCTCCTGCGGCGGAGCATCAACCCCGCTGCCCGGTTGCGGAACCTTTAGCGCTGGGCCGATCTACAGCTCGACCGGTGTCGATTGTACCATCTGCTTCGAGAAGCCGATCGACTCCGTCCTGTACATGTGCGGTCACATGTGCATGTGCTACGACTGTGCGATCAAGCAGTGGCGCGGCATTGGCGGTGGCCACTGTCCGCTGTGTCGTGCAGTCATACGGGACGTGATTCGCACCTACAAATCCTAAGAACACGACGTGAGCGAACGCGAGCGAGCGCTGTGGATGGGCCCCGGCCCCATCCCCACCAGTCACGATACCAAAAACGCTTTCAAACGAAAGCAAGGAAGCATTAATTGTGAATGTGATTTTAATTCCAAAAACATAAAACAAACAAAAACTACGGAGAAGCGAAACTCGGGAAGCATCTGGGGTCTTTCGGAAACATTCTGGTCAAAATTAACTCTTATTTTTTATGCGAGTAAATTATCAAGTAGTCAAAATTTAGCGTATGTGGGTTGCTGGCAGGCAAACAAGAGGAGGTCAGGGAATTGTTACGCACCATTGGGTCGTGTTTAGTTTCGTTTTCTGTCGAAATCGTTGACGAATGCATTATCTAGTGTGTAAGTATTTTTTTTCGCGTAGGACAAACATATAACTAATGATCAAACCAAAAAATCTTAAATTTGCATAGTCGTTACTAGGAACAAGGAAAGCAGTATCCATTCATTAGAAGGACAGTAATTAAATTGCCAAAAAAATACATCACTTCCAAAATGCAATCGAAGCAAAAGAAAAACGAAAATTTCAAAGAGTGAGAAAAAACCGCGCTGTACGTGTAGAGCGTGATTATCGTTTTGTGAATTTTATCAATCGTAATTTTTCCGGTCTCCGTTTAATTTTGGTTTTCCGCCCGTCGTTCCCATCATGGTCATTAAGCGAAAGCAGGAGAAGAAGTTGAACCTAATTTACAAAATTGATACTTTCTAGTCAAGCAAAAATTGAATTATATTATTGAAGCGAGCGATAACCCCAAAGGAAAATTAACGTTAAGTACACTCTGGCCCTGGCAAGAGCAACCGACTTGGGCGCTGGGGCTGCTTATTTATTCTTTTGCGACCTTTTTTCACTTACTGATTATTATCTCTTATACTCTCAAATCTACTATCAATACTGGTATGCATACGCATAGCTAATACAAATATTATACCTACCTACCTTTAGCGAGGACATAATAGTCGAAACAGGATGGCATCAGATCAAGCATGCAGAAAAATCTCAAGAGCAGTGCGGAATGAGAAGCATTAATAGCTTGTAGTAGGTGTCCCACATGGGCAACACTATTAATACTAATTACACGGTGTAGTAGTAAGCATGGAAAACAGAAAGAAGATAGTTGACACATTCTATTAATTTATTGTTATGAACGCATTTACAATTAGGAAGAAACGAACGTATTTTTTAAAAAGTTAGCTAAATGATAACAAAAAAAAAACGGCAAAGAAAAGAGAATACAAGCTCATCAGTGCTAAAATTTATTCGCTGGCTGGAATAATTTGGAAAGATATCACAAATCCTTTTCTGAACTTCGGGGGTGCTTCGGAAAATATACCGTTATCAGGAGCGATTTGAGATAAGGGCACAACTGCTTTTGTAAACAATGACTTGGATCGCCGATTTTTTGCGAATAAAAACTCACCCTCGGAAACTTACAAACACACTCAGGTTGGGAAATGATGCTTCACCAGGTGGTATAGTTTGTTTGCTTTTATTCGTGGGAATTCGGCGATTAAAGTCATTGTTTACAAAAGCAAATCCACAGTCCTATTAATCTCAAATTACTCCGGCTATGCTTGCTTGGGCTTAAAACTGTTTCAATTATCGATTGAGTCTCTTTATAGTTTGGATCCCTCTAGACGTACAAGTTCATCTGTGGTGAGATCTGTTCAAATGGCGATTGGTACATGCCTTAGCCTTCAAAAGGTGCAGCGCGGATAATGCTATGGATAAGCGTTTTTCAATTTATGGGTCACGTACGGAACATTATTATTACCTACGGAACAGTTACCATAGAGGTAACTGTAAGACCAGACCCGACGAAACGTGCTCAACTTTTTGATTCAGCTATGGTACTATCTTCGGTCCCAAGCTAATCGATACACCCCTCGAAACATAGGAAAATCCACGAACCCCTCATTTTATCTGTCAAACTTTCATAGCGAATCAAAACAAACATAGTGTACTACTAGAATTTCGACTAGAATGGGATACGTTAATCAATTTGCTTGGGACCAATAGGCTAGTCAAATAGTGATCAAATTTAAAATCGTTAGTTTACACCGGTGGGTATTATGATTTTGTACGAAAATTCATAAGATATACCGGAAATTTCTAAATCCCCTTCAGAAAGCCCTGCCTATTTAGAATCGGTACGATTCTTTTTGTCCGGTACAGCGCTCCTAGTTGTCGGTTCTGGAATCCTTTGAAAGACATTTGTTTACAATGTTTTTCTCTTGAAATCCTGTGCATTTTTTTAAAGGTTATGTTTTCTTGAATTGCCACGCGATGGAAGAAAAAAGAAAATAATCTATTCTGATATGAAAACCCGACTTGGTCGGTGTCGTGACTGGACCGAGGCCACGGCTACACGAATTAATGGTGCTGCTCCCGCGGCTGCGGCTACTTCCAATCCTGCTGCTATTGATGCGCTGTTCCTTCTGCACGTATGCCTCTTCCAAAATTCGTTACAAGAATGCCGTCAACGAGTAGTAGTAAAATTTACGTTTATTTGCTGGTTTTTTCAAGTTTCAACATTTGGGTTTACATTTCAATTGGTTAGCCTTTGGCTCTTCATCTTTGTTCTAGTTAATTGGGTATTCTTATGTGATGATTGCGTTTAGCGCTAATTTACAGGATACCCATTTAGGGGCTTGTTTTCGTTTGAATTTAAAAATTTGATAATCAAACTACTTGAGCACAGGAACCTACCTAAATACTTGAACTAGGTTGCCAAATCACGAATGATCTAGTGGTTTGATCGCAGACAGGTGACTCTGAACCTTTCCAGCGTGGACGTCTTTCGCTCCTCGAGTTCAAACACTGGCCAGGTGGTGAATCTCAGAATTACGCGGTGGACTGTTAAGGATCATTCTGAGGATCTTGTTTTGGATCCTCTGAAGCTTTAGGTGGTGGCACTTAGCACAACTTTCCCAGATTGGCATACCGTGCTCAATAGCCGGCAGAATGATCTGCTTGTGGACAGCAAGCTTGTTTTTGAGGGACAGGGTGGACTTCCTGTTTATCAGAGGGTAGAACGACCTGATCAAGATGTTACACTTGGTGGATGTCTTGTCCACATGGGATCGTAAATACTAGCAATTTGCTATCGTGGGGGTTAGACCAACGTATTCTACTTCACTCGACCATTCAATGGGAGAGCTATAAAGATGGACCTTGACGTTAGCAGGCGGAACAAGCCGAGGTGAATTAGAGTGTGGAAACAGAATGGTTTGTGTTTTAGCTGCATTGATACAAATCTTCCAGCTCTTGAAATATGTAGTCGGACAGAACATCCAGGCCTGATTGTAGTTTACTCGCCAGAGCACGGATCACTCGACCCTTATATATGATGGAGGTGTCATCTGCGAACATTGACAGGATACCACCACCCGGCAGGGGAGGAACGTCTGACGTGAAATTGTTGAATAGGATAGGCCCAAGCAGGCTACCCTGAGGGACCCCTGCATCAACGTTGAAAGTATCAGAGGGGACATTGTTCAAGTAGACCTGGAATGATCTGCCCGACAGGTAGTTTTTGATGCTCTTCACGAGGTAGATTGGAAAGTTGTATCGATGCAGCTTGTACACTAGGCCATCATGCCAGACATTGTCGAACGCCTTCTCGACGTCCAACAATGCCATGGTAGATGTATTGGAAACGGACTTGTTGCGCTTGATGAGTTGGTGGATGGTAGAGTGGCCTTTCCTAAACCCGAATTGCTCTTTGAAAAAGATATTATTATCATTTGAAAACACCAGCAGACGGCTGAGTATCAACTTTTCGAATAGCTTCGAGATGGTGGCCAAGAGGCTGATGGGGCGATAGCTTTTGGCACTGGTAGGATCTTTGCCAGGCTTGTGTATTAGAATCACTATGGCTAACTTCCAGCATGCAGGGAAGTAGCCAAGCTCCAAACATTTGTTGAAGATAATGGTAAGATGGTTGAAGAAGTCAATACTCAAGTCGATATTCTACTATCATCATGCACTATTACGGGGGTGTCAGCGACTTTAGACATTGCCTCCAGTACGGCAGGCCCATGGGGGCTCACCATGGTTCGGCCAAGATTTTGTGAAATTACAAAATGTTAGCCAAGAGCATTGGCCTTTTCAACTGCGGATTATGAGTAGGGATGGGTTCGAGTTCTGGTCAACAGAGGAAAGCGGAGGGATCGGTCTCGACTTATTTTTCAGAATTTTGGTCATCTTCCAAAATGGTTTTGCACAAACTGGGAGAGAACGAGTCTTGTTGGTAAAATCGTTATTCCTGAGTTCCACCATCCCGGCCTGGATAATTTTGGTTAGCCTATTGATATTGTTCTTCAAGTAAGGCAGCCCAGAACACTGGAACTTCCTACGAATTGTGTTACGGAGCCTGATAAGATCTTTGGTTGGGCTGTCAAGGTTCAGAGTATGACTCACCAGTCTGGATACTGGTACGTGTTGCTCCCTGGCACGGGATATCGCCTCTTCGATGGTTTGCAGATACCGATCAAATTCTTCGAACGATTCCGGTAGGACGTCGTAGTCGATTGGTGTGTCCACACAGCGCTAATAGTCCAAGTTGACACGATGGTAATTTCCCCGGGAAACTTGAAACCTATTGGCCGAGGAACCACCGGGTAGTGGTCCGAGCTTAGTTGCTGATAGGCGATATATTGAGAGATGTTATCGCCAATGTTGCTGATGAAGATGTCGAAGGTGGCATGAGCTCCGGATCGACTCAACCGGGTGGGAGTGTCCGGACACAGGATTGATGCTTGGCGTTCAGGTCGCCAGCGATGATGAAATTTTGTCGCCGTTGTGTTAGCTTGATGATGTCTCTTCGGAGGTCTGCGGCCGAACCGTCCCTAATGTTGGTTTGCTTGGGGCAGTAGACTGCGATGATGGTGATTGGACCAAGCGATGTGCTCACCTCAACTCCGATGGCTTCGATAATTTTCAGCTGGAAGCTTGGTAGTAGCCGGCAGCTGATGTTCCGCCAGACAGTGATGGCCACTCCCCCTCCCCCGGAGCTGGTGCGGTCAAGCCTTACGAGCTAAAAGTCGGGAAGGAAGACGTTCAGCTCGGGCTTCAAGTGAGTCTCGGTGATGACGGCTATGTCGATGTGCCGTTCGTTGAGAAAGTCAACAAACTCGATGTTTTTGCTCTTCAAGGAGCAAGCGTTCCAATTTGCAATTTTTATAGCTTCACGGGTCCATACTTAGTGACAAGGGACAAGGCAGCATGAAGCTGTTCAGATCGAGTCTTGCAGGTGCGCATGATGATGATGACCTCGGCCACGAGCGTCACAAGTTCCTCCGAGGTGAACGGAGAATCGTCGACAGGTTCACCTGAGACAGCACCAGCGTATGATAAACCAGGGGCGGTGGATGAACCTGGAATTGGCTGGGCCGCAGCAGCAGCGAGACGATGCTGAACTGTCCGACTGTTGGGAACCATTTGGATACTCGCAGGATTGGCTTGTTGGTTGTTGAGCGGAAGCGGGGCTAGGTTCGGAACATGTCAACGGGGCTGGAGAGCTGGGTACTGGACTTCCGTGAGTACAGGAGGCGAACGATTATTACGGAGGCGACCGAGCTGGTTGTTGATTGTAGCCTTCCGACGGATATTAATGAACTCCACTCGCTTGGGACATTTGCCATTGGAGGCTTGGTGGTTTCCACCGCAGTTGACACACGTTGGCTCTATGTCATCAACTTGCTCACAGGACGCAGTTGAGTGAGTTCCAGCACACTTGCCGCAGTTTGTCTTCATATGGCAGTTTTTGGTGCCATGGCCATAGGAGAGGCAGTTCATACACTGCGTAACATCACGATGTTGGGGTTTGTAATGCTCCCAACTGATGATGACCTGAAACAGGTCCCGGATTTTGGATCTCAGAGCCGCAAGACTGGTGGATCTCTTCGTGAAGTGCACCAGGAACAACTGGTCACGGAAGCTGGTATTGTTGTTGGAACGCCGGTTCATGTGGAACACGGTCTCAGGTTTGAGCCCCAGATCCAGCTCGGATTTCACCGTAGCCGCCTCGAACGACGGTAATCCACGCAAAACCACCTTCAGTGGCTTGCTCGATGGCAGATCATGCGTGAAGAAGTCCTTCAGGAAACATCCTATTTTGGTTGTACTTCTCCAGGTTGGAGCACATGATTTTGGTACCGATGCTGCAAAACTTGAAGCGAGGCAGCAGCTTGTGTTTTGCCAGTTCGGCACCTAACTTCACTGGCGTGAAAAGCGGGGGAATCTGCTCTTTTCTTGC